TTCAGTAAATATAGATGTTGACATAAATTGGTCTGGGCTATTTTAGACTTGCAAACACAGCAGGCAACAAGTAATATTTCAGCCTGTATGTGGGCATGTCCATTTTGAAGTAATAAACATCCTGTGTAAATTTTGCAAACACAGCAGCACACAGCTCCAGGCACAGCTGGAGCCTAAACCTTTTCTCATTTCACATGGTCCAAAATGTGAAGGTGACTTTCTGTAAGCTCCCATTTTACCTACTCAAGTTGGTATCTTACAGAGAGAACTCAAACTGCCTGCAGGCTGTGAGGCACCCAAAGAGACTGTGCCATGTCCCTGTGCAGTGTCCATGCTCCATTCCCCCTAAAAGGCAAGTTCACTTCTGTGGGCCATTTCACTACTCCCCTCACTGGAGCTGGAAGCTATAAAGTCACTGCCCTGACTTCTGAAAGGGTTTCTTTACAATTTTAATTTCTCTCTATATTTGTACCTGTGTTCCATTGGATTTTTTTGCCAATTTCTGCCCTAACACAGTAAGCAAAACACTGTATGGGTAATTGCTGTGATGTATCAGGTGTAGTTATGAACACATAATTCATTACTGTCTGATGACCATTCTGAACTAGATATAGAACTAATTCAAAATCCTTCAGTGTCATTGGCATGTCATGGCTAATCAGCTGCAGTTAACAGTCTTGTTAATTTTGGATGTAAAAGTATGTGATGCATGAAATTGAAGCAGCTGGACACCCTTAGTAGGTGAGTAAAGGTGGGTTTTAATTCCCAGAGAGGTGTAAGCAATGGCAAAACAAAAATACCACAGGGCACCAGTCCCTCAGAGGTAGATTTCTCCAGGCCATCATAGAACAGGAGAAAACAAACATCTAGAGGTGGAAAAAGGAATCATCAAAATTCATATTTTCTTTCCCAAATATTTCAGCAATGAGAGGAAAGCTGTTATCCTGGCAAATAAAAAAAAAGAATAATGAGAGTTTGTTCTTATGTATGCACACACTAAGTGCGTGTTAGCTACAGCAAGATACTAATTCCAGGGAAGAGTTGTAACTTAAATTTCTCTGCCACCAAGTTATACCCTGTAAAAGGACACACAATTCAGAATGAAGCTGACACTTCCTCCACAGCAAAGGATCTCATGTGCTGCAGAACTTTGTGTGCATGGTTTGAGTCCATATGGGCCAAACCCTGTATTTATCACAGCCATCTGGGTGCTTGTGCATTTTGGTTCTGTTGTAAGTGGATAAAGCACAGTGACAGAAATGGGGAACAGTTCTCATTCCCAGCCAGTTCCCATTGTCCCAATATCTCTGGTGACTGAACTACCTGCCAGGCTACATACCCATGCTCCCTCTTGGTCCCTCTGATTCTGTCAGTCTTGAGGGTGTAAAATGGAAAGGGACTTACCAATATCCCATTTTTAAGGTCTTCTGGCAGAGGGGAGCATAGGCACAGGTGTGCCTGTTGCATCTCTTACACAACCCCCAAGTGTGTGCACACTCACCTGCTGTCATTTTTCCCTGTTGTTTTACAGCCCCACTTCAAGACTGGCTTTTCCTGAACACAGCAAACAAAACCACCCATTCTTCAGCTCCTGAAGCTCTCCTGTACCTGCTGCTACAGCACAGCTGTCCTTGAAAATGTCTTTTCTGACCTTACACACCTCATTAGACTTTTCCAGGCCCAAGATTTCTTTCAGCACAAAAAGTTGTAATTGCTACTGGTGTTGCATAGCAGGGAATGATATATTCTGCTCTATTCTTTGCACTAAACTGTTCTTCTACCTGGATACAAGGTGCAAGATTTTTAGGCATGACCACAAAAAATTAATAAACTGAAAAAAAAGGAAGACAGGGTGGATATTATTAGGGTGGATGATGTTGATAAGTATATGCAACACATCCAGACATGTAATCTGCATTCTTTGTTCTTGTTTAACATGGATTACAGTAACCTCAAACATGGTGGGCTTAGCAAGTGCATGTGAGTTCTTAGTGCAACTTGGACACTAAGAGAGGACAGACAGTCCTTGGCTGGTTTAGAACAGGAATGTTAGGCAGAGATAGAAAAAATATTATCTGAGGCATATGTGAAAGTCACTGGGATTAATACAGCATTACTGTCTACATTTCAAATTAGAGGTTGCAAAAAAAGGGTCTGCAAATGAGATTCAAGAATGATATAGCAAAGGGCTAACAGAGCTAAAGCTATTCCAGTTTACCCAAGGAGTAAACAAAAACTCTGCTTACCACTACATGCACACAGAAGGCTTTGCCTGCTGTACCTAGTCTTTAAATTTTGTCAGAAAGGAAGTAACATTTTATTAGAATGTTAAGGCTAGATTGATGTGGGTAGGTAATAAAATTTCATAAGAACACATAAATAATTTCTTTGAGACACAGAATCCTCTGTCACTTGAAGTGTTTGGATTAGTTCCTAGATGATGGCATTGGAGTCAACATCACTGGTTTGATTCAGGAAGAACTCTTTGCTTTGCATTGCCCAAGGATTCAGACTGAGTGATGTTTTTTCTCTCTGTTGGCCTTGAAGTCTGTGAAACAGAATTTTTTCAACTTGAACTCTTTCCATAGAGCTTCCTCCTCATTCTAAATATACAAGAAGTTACAGCAGGGAATGGAGGTGGTGTCTCTCTTCCAGTTGTGGAATATATTGCTCCCTTCAGCCTCAAATCTTCTGAACCATTTCCTTCCCAAGAGTATCCCACACTAACCTGACTGAGTTAAGTCCTTCAGTAAGGACCCCATTTCTAACCTCTGTTCTTTAGAAAAGTTTTTTATATCTTTTTCCTACCTGAAATCTTCCATTCCTCCTGCAAATATATTAATTATCTAAAGAAATACTTGTATCAAAATTTTGCATCTTTTTAATAAAAGTCCACTGGCTTCAGCATAAGACTTTGAAGATGGGAGTTCTGTTCTGAATTTATTCAGAAATGGCAGATGACTTAATGTATGTAACTAAACTCTAAAGGCAGTGAATAATACCTGCTTAGTTTTTACTCTGCTGCTGTGTTAAAGTCTGTGACATCAAATTGAGCTTTTTGCTGCATGTGGTCCATGAAGATCCCATAAGAACTTTACAAATTATCTGGCTTTGTTTATACACATATGAGTTAAAGACAGACAGAGCCAAAGAACAGCATTTAATGTTTATTAAGCCATTGCAAAAACATAGACAATTTCAGTCAACTCGAAATTCATTATTTTAGTAAAATTCAAGTATTTCTTGCACATCTCACTGGATTGGCACTAGCAGTAGAGGCAGCAGCAAAGCAGGAAGCACTGGCACTTACAGCAGAGAATTGGAAGGCTGAAGCTGCATAGATTTCAAAGGTTGCTCTATAAAGAGAACTCAACACATCAGATATGGTAACAGACTAGAGGCAGTTTCACCTTTGCTGCAGCAGGAACTGGTTATTTTATGCTATGTTACTGGGTGGGTGCTTCTGGTGTGAAAAAGACAGAGGCCTTCTGGTGAATTTTCCAAGAAGGATGTATTTAGCATACTAGTAAGCACAGAAGGTTCATTTACATAAAAGATTTGCAGTAGAAAAATAAATTTTGAAATTCTTATTTTATCAAATTCAAATCTCCACAGCCATCCAGAATAACATGGAGCTGGAACTGATATAAATGTCTGCTCATCCCATTTGCTCTTAGAGAGGATCCATGACATAAAAATATCACCTGACTGCAGGCCTAATAGCTACTGGCAGTGTGTTGCTCCTTCCTGAGCACCTCTGTGATGTAAAATTCTGTTCATCCTGCTGGTTGTGGATGTTCAGCTGGCAGTAAGATCAGTGCAATTCCTGGAAATAGTCATAAAGCCCTCATGACTGTTTTTGAAAGGGTAGCAGAGAGATATTAGGATAAATCTTGCCCATCTTTTTCTTATTTCTTTTTCTATTCCCCCAGGAAATTACTGAGTTGTTAGAAGAAGCAAACAAAACTTTACATATGTGTCTAATAGGGTTGGACTAGATGGCCTGGGATGGACATACAGATGCCCTTTCCAACCTCAGCCATTCTGTTATCCTGTGAAATTAATCTTCTAAGCCAAAAAGGTATCAAGGAGTAATGAAGGCTCTAACTACTAAGGGATTAAGTCCTCAGACTAAACTGTCAGAGGAAGAAAATCTTTAGAAGGTCCATTAATTTATGCACACTGAGAAATTGTCCCAATGCAGCTTCATTATTTTGCATTTTGTGGGTCTGAAATGTTTGTCAGACCAATCAGTGCTCACAATTAAAAGGGAAAAAACACAAATTTTTTTATGTGAAAAGGGATTTGTGTTACTTAGCTGTCAAATGCCTAAAGAGAAATGGAGAAAGTGAAAGGATTATGCAGGATCTTAAGTCTACTGAAATATAAGAGCCACAGGCTTACATTACATGAAGGAACTGTACTTCAAGTAATAAAAGATGGAGAGAAATCCTGAACTGCCCAGCCACAGAAACTTGAAGACAAAACAGGATTTAGCTCAAATTCCCAAGCAAAATCTGGTAGCACAAAAGCAAGAGCAATAAAGCACAGCTTGTATGAGCTTCTAAGCCATTTAAAATAAAAGATAGATCTTTCATTTATTAGTTTTTCCTGATGAAGAAAGGTATCAGCATTATACAGATTATGAGTTATAAATTCTTGATTCATCTGGAAATTCAGTTTCACCTACCATACCCCTGAAGGAATATTTTTTGCTCTGAGTTACAGCAAAATATCACATACTGCTTACAACAAACCAACAGCATTTCACTCCTTGTAATGACATTATTTTCCAGTTCCCTTCTCCAAGTGAATGCTATTAATCATTAAACACTTAAGGCACAAGCAGAAATAAAATAAATAGCATCTGTAAAAAAAAAGTTAAATACTTAATTAGCACACCTTACCTGAAACTTTTAGCTCTTACTAAATAGAACAGACTTTAGAATACCAGTCTGATCCCAAAAATATCAACAGAAAAAAAAAAAAACCAACACTACGGAAATTGCTTCTTTATCCTGAGGACTTTATACACACAAGAAGAGTTGAACAGCTATAGCTGTCTGAAACATCTGTTCACTCATTTTTTAAACAGACAGACAAAATTCAGTTAGCTCCTCTGTGCATTCCTACTCCTGCTGGGATGTCCAGCATCAGGATGCTCAATTCACTCTTGGTGATTCATGCAGCAGGGGAATACAACTCACCAAATATCTACAAGGAAGCTACTGACACAGCAGCCACTCCTCTGAGCCTCCATGTCCCAGGGGACAGAAATGGCCCTTCAGTGCACACTTAACATCCACAGTTAAACCAACCAGCCAAGCTGGACATGTCCATGCCAGAGCTGTCAAAAGTCAATTAAAATTATTTCCACCTCGAGGCTGAAGGCAGGTGTGCTCTTCCCCATCTGCCTGTGCAGCTGCAGATGGAATTGCAGTGACTTGTCCATGCTGAGAGGGAAGGCACCTCCTCCCCTGCCTGCCAGCAGAGCAGGCTGTGCAAGCAGCCCCCTGCCTTCTGCCCTCCTCTCACTGCTGCTCAAAGCCATGTGGGCACTTTGCATCACTCTTGAGCACTGGGTTAGTGCTAAAGAGTGCTAAACAATGCTAAACAAGTTGATTTTACCTGAAATAGATTGGGCAGTGCTTTCAGGGTCCCTTTTCCTTTCTCAGCTAAGCAGCACTGGGCTCCTACAGTGACAAATAATTGTTAGCAATATATTAAGTAGTACAGCTGCAGGCCAAAAGAATGGATATTTATAGCCTAAGCAGGCTTTGGTACACTATTTAGACAAGGCTGAGGAATTCAGACATTCCTCAAAGGGGTTTATTATTGTTGTAACAGAGGGATGAGTCTTCTCTTTAGAATCAGACCCATTAAATCAGATACCTTTCAAGCTTACAATTTAGTAACTTCAAGGCATAAAATCCCATTCTAATATAGCAAGGGCTCCTTTACTGGTCTGATTTCAACTCACTGCAACCATAGAAATTTGCACAGTTCCTATTTTGAGGTACAAATGCCCATTTAAAAAAATACCCGTATCCAGACCTGATCCTCAAGCTGACAAAGCAAATCCATAATTAATTTTTCACCTTCTCCTAGTCTCCTATGTATAAGTACCCAGTGTCTTCTATGAATAGGAATGTTTAAAAGCCATTTGAGGAAAAAATGGAAGTTCCTGATATATATAGCTGGATTCTGCCATTCATGCTACCTTCCTTCCTATGTTCTTTCTCATCAAAATTTTGATTTTATCTTTAGAATGATGAAACAGCTAAAAAGAGTAAGGAGTCAAGACTCCCATGGCCCTTGAGGAGCAGAGGAAGCAGTGGCTGCACACAGAACCAAAGCTCCCTGCAGTGCTTGGGGGGTTCCACCATGCAGGGGCTGCTTGACTGACCCCAAGGGTAAATGGGCAGCAGCCACCCCAAAGGGCTCTGACCAAAGTAATCTTTATGCTCCCAGTTAAGATAAAACATGTACAAATATAGTCCAGGTTTGTATATTCTATGAAATAATTAATTTCCTATATAAATTTTCATGTAGAATAAAACAAGTTGGCCCCATAGAAATGTGGGCTTTACAAACACAGCACTTTTGTTTCCTCTCAATGAAACAAATTCAATGCCACTTTTTAGATGTGGAATCCATTAAATTTTGTTCTGCAAAGCAATCTTGCATTGATAACAATTGTCAAGTCTGACAACTGATGATTTAATGTTCTATGCTCCTTTTTCTAGCAATTACAAGTTGTTTGAAAATTAAATTACAGTTAATATTTCCCCCCAGTGAGGCAGTCTGACAGGATGTACAAATGCTTGCATTGCCCTGTAAGTCAGTTGTTTCCAGATGAGATGCGCTGACAGCATGAAAATAATTAAATGTCAATATACAACTGGCCTCTTTTATGAAAAATAAACAGGCACAAAGACAAACTGTTCCACTGCTTATACTAACCACCAAATGTTGAAATAACTGCTTATTTTAAACACAACATGAGGCTGCAGTGTAATTTACTGACTTTCACAAACCCAGTTTAGCAATTTAGAATGTGTTCAGAACTAAAGTTCTTATTTGTCTGATGATTCTTCATCTGCATTGACCTTCTCTCCTTGGAGCCACATGAATGCTGACTTTGCTGTGCCATCTCCACTCTGCTGGGAAAAGCAAATGAAGGAAGCCCAGACAAAGCCACAGAGGCCAGTGTAAGCTGTTCTCAGGTGAACTGGGATCAGAATGAAGTTTGACAGCTGTGTGGGAAGGAGAGAGAGCTCAGTGAGTGCTCCACGCACTGTGACCCACCCAACAGCCCCATTGCTCCTCCTGGGGCCAGACACAGTGGGGATGGGACAAGGACAAGGACAAGGACAAGGACAAGATAGGATCTCCAGGCACTGTGACCCACCCAACAACCCCACTGCTCCTCCTGGGGCCAGACACAGCGGGGATGGGAGAGGATCCCGGGTTCTAGGGCAGGGAAAGGCTCACAGAGCCACCCTAGGAACTCACCTGCACAAATGGCCAGTACATCAGTCCTGTCTGAAAGGAAAATGAATCATTTGTTATTCTTATGGATTTCAACTACCAAGATTCAGTGATGACTGAAATGTATTTGAGTAAAGTTAATAAAAGCTGTTCAATTATAAATGGAGTTGCTTAACCCAGAGGTCACCATATTAAACTTCTAATCATCTTCATGAGCCTCTATGCTCTGAGTTTTTCAAACACACCATTTTAACTCATTTTAAATACAAAACCCTAAGCACAGTTAATTCTTCACAGGCATCTGACACCAGACACAATAAATGCATTTACCAGATGGGTGAACAAATGTTTAAACATGTGAACATTTGTTTCAGCCATTAATGAAAAATACCACTGAACACTATTTATTTCACACTTGCAATGCTCCTTCTACTTACTCATACACGTAAGGCATATTTAGAAAAATCAATGGATAATTTACTCATCGAACATAAGGCTGATAGAAACCTTATGTTTTGATAGGCTATAGTGGGCACTGCTTTTAGAATCATCTTCCATAGGAATAAAAATAATCCTTTCCCATCCTACCTATATAGTTCTACAATATGAAGAGAAATTCACATTGCAATCACATCTTCTCCTGTTACATTTTTTTCCCTGCTAATCCATCCATCATTCTTCTTGCATCTGAGAAGCCTTTAACATTCTCAGCTTGCTCAGCTCTGAGGTAGCACAGATAATTTTGTCTTGTGTATGCAGAAATGCAAATCAAAGCCAGCTGCTTATAGCAAAGCCTTCTTAAAACAAGGGGGCTTGTTTCTGAAAGTGAGAAGATTGTCACTGAAAAGTACAGGCTAAAAATGATTCTCAAAGAAAGTGCCTCTCTAATTAATTATTTTAATAGGTGTACAAGTGTTGTCAATAGTATCACTAACTAAACACTGGTGCGTGGGTAGTTCTTAAGACAAAAGATAAAAAAGCCCTGAATCAATGTTGTATTGTAGGGCTGTCATTCAAACAGAGCTGGGTGCAAGCATTATGCATATAAACACTGTGCATTTCATTTTTTTAAATGGCATAATTGCACCCATTTTTTTAAAGGCATAATTTCACCCATCTGGCAGCACTGCCTGACCCAAACTGCCTTCACTTCACGTGACTGCTGGTACTTAAAGCTTCCTACACATAATCAAATAATGGAGTGAAAGAAAGAAAGAGTAAAAAAAGAGTCCTTTTTTGTTGTTGTTTACCTGTGAGATAAGCAAATTGCTCGCCTCACCTTATATGTATTCCAAAATTTCTTTTTACAGTCTGAAAAGACGTCCTCTTTCCTCTGAAGGATGCTCATACCTAGTGGTAAAATATTTGCAACAATCAGAAAAAATGCAAAAAATGAAATGTTCACATTTTCCAGTGATATCCCAGACCCTTTTCAAATAACATTATAATACCTTTGAAAGAAAAGCTGATATTGTTACACAAATACTTTTCTGACTACCTAATAGTGGTACATCAAATTTCCTCATCTATTGACATCAAATTTCCTCATCAGTGACTCCCAGCACTGACACCGGGGATCAACTGGGATTTATGGGGTGTGCAGCTGTTGTGGCATCTGTTTCTCTGCCATACCACACACCACTGGTGTAGTGGTGGAACAAAGAGGATAAAAGCACCTTTTGCACCCATGAGAGGAGAATAAGGCATTTTGCACATAAGCAGAGGCTCCTTAGTCCAACTCTGGGATCTTTCTAGGTATTCCCACGCCTTGGGGTTATCAGTATCTCTCAATGGATACATTGTTTTATTGCTACCCCATTCAGGGACTTCTACTAGCCCTTTTCTGGTCCTTCAGATCATTCTGGTCCTTGGGTAATTCTCAGCCTCAGTTGTGACATAGTAAAGATCTTGAGCAGAAGTATCTGGTGTTTGACTTCTTTTTTTACTTCATTTCTCTTCAATCACAAATTGAATAATTTTTCTTTTGGAGTGATAGAATGCAGATCTCCCAACCCCAGACAAAAAAGGACCTGTCTTACTGGCTAACACATTAAGTTAAATGAGAGCATTTAATTACATTAGTTTCACCTATTAATTTTCTTGTTCCCTCATGTTTATTTCTGAAATAGATACCAGTCTTCTTTAGAGTATCTTGTTACTTGTTAGCTTTTGAGATTTGCCATTAGTAGCACGCTTTATTTCTATAGACTCTCACAGCAGAAGCTGGTTCGCTGAGCGATGGCATTTCCTGACATCTACACCTGTGTTTTGGAAAATGAGACAGCAGATGCTGAGAACTGAGCACAGCAATTCAAACAGACGTGGATGCTGCAATCCGTGCGAGGTGCTCTGCATTCTTTGCTGCTAATTAAAAGCTCCGCGCCCAACCGAGCTCAGGGCAGGCCTCCTTTGGTCCAGCACCTGTCCTGGAAAGCTCTGCAGTGCCACAGGCGGCTCAGCGCCCGCGGGCATCCTCGGGGGGAGCTGCCGGGCTCTGCAGAGCCCCCGGCCGCGGCCCCGCTCCCCGAGCGGCGCTTTGGGGTGCGGGAGCGGCGCGGGGCGGGCAGGGGGTCCCCACCTCCCCCGGCCCCTTGGGGTGGATGCCGGTCCCGCGGTGCGCGGGTCGCGGTGCGGGGCCGCTGCCGGAGGATGCGGGGCCGCTGCCGGGGGATGCGGGGCCGCTGCCGGGGGATGCGGGGCCGGCGGACGCGCGGGGCTCTGCGGGGCGGCCCCCGGCACTCACCCGTGTAGAAGGCGAGGACGGCGACGGGCGCGCCCAGCAGCTGATCGCAGAGCACCTTGCCCAGCACGGCGGGCGGGCGGCGGCCCGGCAGCGCCCGCTCCAGCGCCCGCAGCCACACGTAGCTGAAGTTGCCGTGGAAGGCCAGGGCCACCAGCGCCACGCGGCGCGTCTGCGCCCAGTCGGGCGGCTGTCCCCGCAGCAGCTGCTGCGCCGCGTCCCCCGCCGCGAACAGCCCCCCGTAGAGCAGCACGTTGCACAGCCACGGGAAGCGCCGCACCCCGCGCAGCAGCGCCCCGGCCATCGCCCGCCGCCGCTTCCGCCTCTCCTTCCTCCTCCCTCTCCTCCTCCTCCTCCTTCCCACGGGCCCGCCCGCCGCCGCCCCGGCCCCGCCATCCCCGCGGCCCCGGAGCGCTCCCTGTGCCGGGGAGGGCCGGCTCCGCACGCCGGGCCCCGGAGCGGGGTGGATGACCCGCGTGTCGGCTCCTGGGCTCCCTTCCCAAGTGCCTGTGTACTCACCCCAGGATGTAGGTGACCGTGTCGCCTAGGTTCGGTCTAAGTAGCACTACGGGGTCGCTGTGCATTATTGCCGCAACTATTGAGTGACAAATGAACACTAGGCACTGGTTCCTTATGATCTTTTTTTGTAATTATTTCCTCGTTATGTGCTTACATGAGTAGGTTAGGGCCTTTTCTTTTCAGTTTTGCCCTTGTTTTGCAGTCCGAGCAGGGCCGATGCACACCTGCTGGGTAGCAGCACCCCGTGGGGTTCCTTTGCTTTGCCCTCTGCTGCTGAGACAACTTGAGGAGAAAGGCAAATGGTGTGAGGCTATTGAAGAGACTCGTGTACACAGCTTTGTACACACAGAACCAGTGCCACAAAGCGGATCTGAAGTCCACCTAGTGAGGTGACCCTGAGTAGTGACACCACGTAGTGAGGTGTCCCGCAAGACCTCGCCCACGGAAGGAAAGGAGCGCGTCCGGGAGAGCCGGGAGCTCCCCCTGCTCCTGGCAATGGGCTCAGGCTTGGCTGAGGGAACCATCTCCAGGCAGAAGGTGGTAGTTCGCTCTGTGACCTGGATTAGTCCCTTTGAAACTACCATGAATTCTTCCATGAACAACTAAAAATAGGCATGGATGGCTGGTAGATCTAAGTAAAATTTAATAAGCGTTAGAGCGCGCTGCCCAGCGCTCGGCGGACACGCTGTGTCAGGGCCCGGGGCGGCCCTTTCCAGCCCTCATCCCAACACATCCCTGCGCAAACAACTGCAAACAGTGCTATTGAATAACAGCAGTGGCACTAATAGGAGCGGGGATATGTATCGAAAAGTAACTCCAGCTTGGGAGAACAGAAATAAAGCTCAGGAAAAGCCCAGGGTTTGGGTCTCCGGGGGCTGCTTGTCGGACGGGGCAGGTGCGTGCCGTCTGCCGCGGTTGTGCAGCGCTCCGGCGCGGGATCCGTACATAGAGGAAAGGCTTTGGTGCACCCGTAGGCGATAGCGGTGTGGCAGCCGAGAGGTTCGTTCAGTCTGGAGACATGCAGCGCCCTGCCGGGGTCCGGCCTGACACAACCCGCCGCGGCCGGGACTCGAACCCGGAGACTCGAAGCCGGGTATTCGCAGCTCCGCTCCAGAACCGGCGTCCATCGCCCCTCGGACCGCGCTCCCTGCGCATGCGCCAAGATCTGTCACTGACCCTGGCTCTCTCCGGGACTGTTCCACCAACTGGCGTGGGGGGAGAACGACCTCAGGCGGTGCGTGGAGCGAAGGACCGGCCCCGGCCCCACCGCGCCGTGCGCAGCGTGCCCGCCGCGCATCCCCCCGCCGCTGCGGCGCGGTGGTGCGTGCGGCGGGGGGCGGGCCCGTTGCCCAGGTGAGCGCGCGAGCGCGGCCCGCCCCGCGCGGCCCCGTCAGCGCTGCCAGCGTGGAGCGGCCGGGGCGGCAGCGCCGGGCCCGTGGCCATGGACGGCTCGCTCGAGAAGGTCTGCGGGGCAGCGCCGTCGGGCCGGGCCGGGAACGGGGACAGGGACAGGGACAGGGACGCGGATGGGGCCGCGCCGCGAGCAGCGGGTGCGGTGGGGCCGGGGCCGCGGGGAGGGGCGCGGGCCGGCGGCGGCCGGGTCTCGGTGCGCGGCGCTACCCCGGGCTGAGGCGGCTTTGCCTGCCGGAGCTTTGGGGCAGCAGAGGAGCCCCCGGGCGTGTCCCCCTCGGCCCCCACAGCCGCCGGTGTGACCGGCATCCGTGTCCCGGATCCGGACCTAGGCAGGATAACTACCAGGAAATGCTTCAGGAGCGGGTTTTCTGCTTTCTTTAAAAAAAAAAAAAAAAAGATGGAGCTTATTTCCTGTCAGTGTTAGCCTTCAGCGGGATAGGAGAGGAAATATTACTAAATAAATTATTATTTCACCCATTTTTTGAATTGACATGGAGGCGTTCGCTGCCCTGTGTTTGCTCTTCTGCCCGTGCAGTGCACAAAGCAAATATTGGCTCTGCCGTGCCCGGACCGAGCCCGTTCGCTCGGCCCCTGAGCCCGCGGCTGCTCCGGAGGCACCTGCTGGGCCCGGGGTCCTCCTGCCCCTCCCGGAGCTGTCCCGGCCCTCGGTGGCCGTGGGGACACCGAGCCCCGGCAATAACCTGTGCTTGGTGTGCTTGAGGCTTTGGATGCACACGCCCCTCCTGGCGTCATTACTCTATGCTGCATGCTCGGGCTTATGCCATCCTTGGAGTGGTCCGGAGAAATTTGAATGGGATGTGCTCCAGTGAAATGGTCGGGAGATTCAGCAATATCTTTCTGACGTGGCAAAAAAAGTTTGATATAATACAAGCTTTCTGAAGAATACAGTGTTACAGAGTATTTGTTAGTGTTTAAAAGCTTAGGTTCTTTACTAGTGCTGGCAGAAGCGACTCCTGCTTGTTCTGAAAAATTTTAATTAAGTTAAATTTCATTGGATTAGTTTGGAGTATGCTGTCTATCAACTGGACTCAAAGAGAACCCTGGTGTGATACAGGATTATTAAAAAAGGTGCAATAGTACAGGGCAAGTGTAGTACTGACCAAGCTCTTTGCTTGACCAGTTCATAATAAAAAGCAATAAACACACTGTAAGAATGAAATACCTAAAAGATGTCCATGTTTTGATTATTCTTGACATGAGGAATAGTCTGTAATAGTCTGAAAAAATTGCCTAATTTTTCCATATATGCAAATAGATATGTGTCAAGAGTTATCATTTGATTTACTTCCTCTCTTGTTTATCACAGCTTTTTTGCACATATGTGATAAAAGCTGTAGTTCTCTGTATAATAAAATGCCATAATACAATTATGGCCTTCTAGATATTTAGCAGTAAGTGCCCTCCTGGAATAGTCTTTGGTTAAGATTGTGGTAAATCTGTACAATTTGCAGTTTATCAAGTCTTGAGCATGACATGTCAGAATTCTTCTCCCCAAATATATTTAAAATTCCTCCAAGCTGGGATATATTTTTCTGCAGAGAATGTTTGTCCACTTATCTCATGGACATTATTTAAGCATTATCATAGTAGATTTGAGACTTTTATTTGAACCATGGTTTCTCTCCTTGCTGTGTATTTGTGCAGGGTGCCAGTGGTGTGATAAGTACTTTTTAACTTGTATTAACATTTGTTTGTTGCAACTTTGTATTTTTCACAATCATTTTGGTACAATCACCTAATGAGCTGTAATGCAGTGATGTTGGGTGACTGCAGTCTTTAGGGTCTTGCAAATGGAAAAAGATTTTTTTAGCAGATGAGAAACTTCCTGAGAATTGAAAACATTGCACAGTAGGACTGCAGTGAAAATCATTGCAGGATCTGACTCACAGGTGTGCACACCACACATCTCTTGGTTTGATTTTGCAAATTAACTTTGTTTCAACAGCTTTTTTTTTTTCATTATTTTTTAAGGTATTGTGTATCATAAGTGATATAATTATGATTAATTTTATCTGAAATTTAGTAATCCTTTGTTGGGCTGAACTTGTTAAAATAATTCTGGAAGCCTGTGTTAGATTTCAGAAGTTTGCCTTAACAGAACTATTCTATTTTTTTTCCCATTTGGATTTTGATAGAAGTGACCAATCTTCTGAAGGATTTTAAATGTCAAGTTAGGTGACTTTGTCAATGGTAAAACAGTGCAAATTCTTTCCTTGTAACTTCTTGCTATCTCTACAGCAGTATTTTCCCTAAACATGAAAAAAACAGTTTTGGTTTCTTGCTCAGCCTGTGGCTCCTGCCTTTTGTTACTGTGCTATTTACCACAACATCCTGGTAAGTTTACAGAAAACTCAGGCAGCTGAGCTGCATTAAGGTCCTGGCACATGTCAGGGGAATAAATCAAGATTAAAAGAGTGAATATCTGTAAGCAGAAGCCTTGTGATGACACAGTGCCATTTTCATTCAAGCCAAACAGTCATGAAGTGTCTGCTTTTTTTTGTTATCTTAAACTTTTCTTACCCTGGAGAATAAAAACAATATTCTTTTGGCTGAAGAATACTGACATTGTTTGAGATTAATTTACCATTGAGAAGAGATTTTATTTATTTATGGTAAAACCTTCTTTTAAGGTGTTACAGTAATGTAGTGGGAAAATGAGCTCCCATGAAACAGGGAATGAGCTACACCTGTGAGTTGCTTCTCACAACATGAGTTTATGTAAACTGCTTAAAATTCATCCCTTTATTTCATTAGGAGTACAGCCTCCAGAAATGCAAAACCAAGACTGGAAAACATTGGTATAGAAGCAGCATTCTCCCTTTTGAATTTGCAATTAATTTTCAGTCTTATCACAGTTGGAGAATGGCCCCTTATCCTCTCTCCCCAGTTGCCAAGTGACTCCAAGGTGTGACATTCTGCCTGTAAAATCATAAACAGTTCACAGTTCAAAGTACTTAATAAAATAGTAACAGATTAGTTACAGAATAGGGAAGTGGCTAAAATCAAAGCTGTTGCAGGATAACCTGAGGGAGTTGGATGAACACATTGGAAGGCTGTGAATGATAAAAGTTGAAGCAGGCAGAGTGAGGTGTGTCAGGGGCTGAAGGAGGCAGGAGGTGCTGGGAGGTGAATGGACCCCTGGCAGGAAAAAGTCATGGCTGGTGCCTCTTAGAGCTTGGAGGGATTTGTGTGTCTTGTAACTGCCCTGGCCAAAGGCTGCCTGTGATCCAGGGGAAGGACTGGGTGCAGAAACTGCCTGCAGCTCCTTTAACCCCTCAACACCTCTGCTGTCCTGTGCTTCAGGAGGGAGTGTTCAAGAACTCCTCCCTCAGTCGTTTTCAAAACCTGTTC